AGAGAGAGAGAGAGAGTTGAGGTAAACACAAAATCCGTGGAATGCAAAAGGGCTCTCTGGTTTCCACAGTAAATGATCAAAAGATCAAGGAGCTCAAGTATAGACCTATCCACGCCACACATGTGCTTTTAAAATTTATTTGGCTTTGTAATTCCTTTTAAGCATACACTTTTTCTCTTTGATGTCTAAAAATGTATGAGAACTGGGCAATATATTTGCTCTAGTGTCATTAAATGGTAACACTGTGAAACCACCTTTCTCACTGTGACAAGTTGCCATATTCATTTGTAGTCTTGTAGGCCAGGAATAACCACGGCTGGAATAGGTTGATATTTTGGGAAATGCTTAGAGTTTCTTGGTGAGTGTAACAGAGGACTGATAACTCTTGTGTCTTTCCACTAAATATGAACCTGCAGCCACAAGGAGGTTAGCTTAGCTTAGCATAAAGACTGGCTTCAGTAACCCAACTTGCTATGGAGATTTCAATACCCACCTACCAGCCCCTCTTAAGTTCTCTAACATCACTCGTCATCACTATGGGTTTGCCAGACAACCCACAGAGACATAAAAAAGTCCCCGCTGACAAGAAAGCCCAACACATATACAAGTAAAACCGCACATTGAATGTTTTACAGTTTTGCTTTATTACAAATTGAACAAATGAATTCTAACCTCTCAATAAGTGAGCCTTTATGCCAATGACTGTTTCAAACTTTATATTAAACAGACTAAATTCAGACTGGTATTAACCTTCTCATCTAATTTTGCCAAGGGAGCAAATAAGTATATTTCTCAAAATGTCAAACTATAGCTTTTCAGGCTAAACACATTTTTAATGATTTTCATCAACTCAATGTTTATTGAAGGCTGCACTTAAAGTTGAGGTGATTATTTAAATAAAACAGTATTTAACAGGAATCTAATTTGGGAGATGTAGCTTTATCGGTGGCGTCCTATGGCCACATAATCAGCTGTTTCTCTGCAGATGTGCATCACTTCTGCGTCCACAGGTCCACTGACAAATCAGTCCATCATGGTTCCATCCTTTTTTTCCATGTTCCACCCCTTTTTTAAAATTAGGGTCAAATTCAAAGTTTGGCAGTTACAGTTCTATCAAAGGTTTGTGTCCACGCAGTTAGGAATGCAAAAAACAAAATTAAAGGAAACTGAATGCAAATGTCGACACAGCCATGAGGGCTATAGTGTTCCAGGAAGAGTCAAAAACATCAACACTTTCACTTTAATTTGGTACCTGAGCAGGGCACTATCAGCAGGATCTGTGGTCCAGCTAGATGATTGAGCCTTGCTGACCTCGAAACATGACAACAACGAAAGGCAAGACTCATACCAGATGATGGAGTCATCAATAATAAGAGAAGTTGAGTGGGAGAGGACGGGAAGGGGGAGGGTTATCTAGGCACAGCACATGTACTTCCCAGTGGGCCGCGGGGGCAGACAGGACTGCGTAGGGGTAAGATATGGCATGACGCTCCTGGAATCTGTGATTTGACATTTCTGTGTGAGAGTCTGTCAGAGGACAGGAGAAGGTTTTTAAGGGCACCGCCACCTCCTCTTGTGTCCAAGTCTCTGGATTTTTATCAAAGAGAGATATGACTGTGGGCCCAGACAGTGGCAGAGCAGCATGGCGTTCACTGGAGGGTTTCAGCCTGAATGGGTGCTGAATACACGTTCCAATAAGCGAAGTCAGTCCTCCTCCTCCACATAAGTAGAGGGAAACCATCCCACCTAAGAAGAGAAAAGTAGCATCTAGATCAGCATTTCAAATTCGACCAGACCTCCGCTGATCTTGTGAAGAATTCTTTTCCTGTCACAATGTACAGACTGTTATATGTAGTTTTGATCAGGATGGGTCAATAATTCTGACAATTTGGAGGTGAGTACAAGAGATAATTCATTGTTAACTCTAGGATGAGTGGTAACTGTGACACTGTGCCTGCATGGCAGGGTTGGAGAAGTGTGTTCACAAGCAGTGGCATACTCAGATGTGAGCAAATTTAGTGGCGAGTCGTTGTGCATCGAATTGCATAACAACTGATACTTTGGCTAAACAAACCTGGTAAAAAAACAATTAACTGACGGACGTTTTGTTGTGCCAATGTGACATGTCCCATTAAAACTAAGGAGCTTTTTTCCATTTAACTATGGATGAAGTGGTTCACCCTTCATGACATGCTCACTCACAAGCTCCCTGCCAAACACAGACATTTACTGATTCACCCTTTTTAATTTCATTTTTAATACAAAATATTTGTGAAATATTTATTTGTTGTCCCACTTAGAAACGAGCAAAAAATCCTGCCAGCTGCAAAGAGCAAGTTTGTCAAAGACATACCCTGCCACCGACTACTCCCTTCCACCACCCATTGGGCATCTTGGTGTAGATAGTGATAACGTCTCCCTGTTGCAGAGAAAGCTCCCGCGTGTCTCTGGAGCAGAAGTCGTAGCGTGCAATTGCATAACCCACCACTCTAGGAGAAAAGACTGAAACAGAGAGAGATCTTATATTACTTTTGGACCCATTTACAAAATTTCACCTTATCTTAGACACTGTGAAAACATCTGCTGACACTGATCCAGCAAGAAATATCACACTTACAGATCAGAGTTACACTCCATACAAAAATGTAAGCTGAATTTAATATTTAAAGACAAAGTTTACAGATGTACTGCTGTTTTCAGGGTGAGATTAAACTTTCATGCTCACTTACTGTAAGAAAACTAACAAGGATCAAGAGAGAACTTGAGCCAAACTAAATTCAGTTTATCTAGCTTTCTTATACATGGTTATAAAATTATTATGGTTCATTGATTTTTTCTTTTTTTTAGTACAAAACATATTCCTCACAGGTATTAATCGTAGTAAACTGACTATGCCATTTTGTGAGAATGATAAGGCAGCGATTCTAAAAAGCCTTGACTCATGGGTTTGATTCATGTAAAAGCAAAACCGCAGAGACAGAAATGAGATAATGCTTAAGGTTCACGGGTGAGAGAGGAGAAATGTATCCGACAGCTCAGCTTGGTGTGTCCAAGCACGCAGCCGGGATGAGAGAACTTGGGTTATCATGGTCATGTGATCATCTTATTAAAAGTTAAAGGTGAATTCAAGCGATGCATCCAGCACTTATCAGGTTATCCAAGTTTGTTCCTACGCATGCAGGTCAGGGCTCATATCACACGTGAACACGGCTGTGCATAGGTTTGTTTACCTTATCTGTGAAAACACAGATGACACGACTGTGCAGATATGCTGGACGAAAGGAATACATCTATCCTCTCATGCACACAGACATCCAAAGTTAACCCACATCACAACAACTCAGGTGCTCACTTCCACACACGCGCATGCTTAAAGGAAGCACAGAGAGAGATCATTTAATTCTTAAATATTCTTAATAAACTATAATTTTTGCATTCGTGTCTCGCTGGAAACACGAAAATGTGAAAAACCTCCAGTTATTCTGACTCGGGAGCCCTTACTCATTATTTCAAGAGGGTAACCACCACTGTTGGCCTTAAAGTCACAACTTTTAATGGATACTAAAGCTCAATTAACTGTTTTATTGTGTAACATATTTGTCACAGTTCATTAAGTGAAACCATACAAACAAAAGCGCATGTCATCTTTTTAATTAGCTGAATTGATAGTGTTATTGTTGGATGTAGTAAAATGTAAATGCCAGCAATGGTGGCTTTGCAGCTCTTTGCCAGTGGTTTGCTGACATTTCTGCAGTTATCTTGACCAAATGGGAGATATCATAGCCGGCAGAAATTCATAACATCTGTGATATTTAATTTCCAGAAGACTGATGTGAGGGTTTTTCCCCAAAGGGGTGACTTATACACTCTGTGTAATTACCAAGGAAAAAAAATGCATTATTTAAAAGAGACAAGAAAACAAGACAGGTCATCTTTAGAAACGTGGACATACAGCGGGGGGAATTCAAAGAGAGTAGAAAAGCTGTACCTGTACCTGACCAGAAAGGCGAGGAGGAGGGAGGAACAAAGCTGCAGCCGCCAGGAGAAACTACAGAGAAACGAAGCGAGTGATGGGAGGGGGTTCAGGCCGTAGTGGGAGCAAAGAGAGAACATAAGCAAAGTAAACACAAGTTTGACAGAAAGAGAGCGTGTTTGTGTGAGGGTAAAGGAGAGAGAAAGAGTAAAAGTTGTCAAAGTCAAAGTACAAGCAAAAAAGCAAATAAGGTTGGGGATACGCAGTGAGAGAGGAGGGCAAAACAGTGAAACCATCAGACAAATTGTTACTGCCCCGGGCACATGCACAAAATCTTACACAGCACAAACCGCAGTAAGGTGGGTTAAGTGAGTGAGCCTATAATACGTTTTGATGCCTGAAAGTCAGTATAGATATGACTTTTTTTTTTAAACACTTATATGTTGCTTTTTATGCCTCAGTACCAATTCAGCAAAATGTCAGTGGTAGGCAATGGACCAATATTTAAGACAATTGTGTGCTTTTGACATAGCAGAAACAAGTCTGAGAAAGTATTATTCCTAATTCAGGATAAAAATGTGGAGACAGGAGCACTACAGTGTGGCAGTCCTACGCAGAACTGCCAAAACCGCCACAGCCATATAAAGACATTACAAGAGATTTCACAAAATGCTGTATGAAGTCCTTTATTTGGTTACCACTTCTTCTCTAATTGTGGTCCAATCCTAAAAGAGAAAAACTTCAACAAAAATAATCAGAATATATAATTTAGTTTGCTTTAGCATACTAATATATCAGGATAAAATGAATGATAATATGTTTTTCACCAAAGGACCTAACCCAGTGAAAATGAAAAATTGATGGGAGACACTTAATTTGGAGATGGTATGAGCAGGACTGCTGGTCTGAATACTAAAGACTATTTGGGTATACAGATGGATCTACTTGTTGTAGGAATTTCTGTAAAGAATCCCTTTGCCTATTAACGTCCATCATTTTTGGTTTACTATGCTGAATAATAAGTCTCGGGTGTAAACTTTTGGCTACATAGTGTGGCTTTCTTCAACTTTGTGCTGGTTACACTGCATAAAAATCAGCAATAGCAAAATTTTCAGCTTCAGACTAAAAAAGCAGCGGCAGCTTGTGTGTAAGTATACGTCTGAGCAGAAGCACGGTGCTGTGACAAGGCAGCGTCTGGGAATCCACACTGCAAAGCTAAGAGCTCCTGCTCCCATATGAAATCTCACCTGAGCCAGCAGACCCTCATGCTCAGAAAACAACTCCTGTCAGCACAGCAGTATGGTTTCATGCCTTCTCTTTGTACCGTACAGGCGGAGACCAACATGCGTCAAGTGTCCGACCAGAGTTTGCACAACTATTAACATACTAACATAGCATGAGTATTTATACTTTACATGAAAATATTTTTGATTCTTTTGCACAAGAACATATGTGCATGGAACGTGCACAGGGTGACATGAGTTTCTATTATTTAAAATGTGCTATTTATATCAATGTGGGCCAGAGAAATGACCACAAAGCTACAACAACTGAATACTAGAAACCTTGTGAAAATGTATTGCAGGGCTGATGTATTAGATGTTTTCAGGTGAATGCAAGTTGAGTATCTTAAAATTCTTTCAATAATTCTGTCATAAATATTTCCAGGACATTATATATCAATTTTAATGATATTGATATAAGATAACAGACTCCAGTGTCCCAGTAAAAGTTAGACTTAACTACAAAATGATCATCCTGACAGACAACACGAGATCATTGCATTGCTAATTAGTTCCCAACTCAAGCTTTCACACACACACAGGGAAATGCACTCAGTCAGACTTAATTAAAAATTCTAGCTGGGGTTTTTCCAAGCAAATTACTCCAGAGTTTTGATGGCTTTACAGTAGTTCTGCATCTTGTGATTGTTTACTCAGCCTTGCATTCTATTTTCTTTGCTATGAGGTGTCTGTTTTGAGATTGTTGTTGTTTTGGCATGACATCTGTCTTTCCACAGAGGCTGTTTACCAGACAGAGAATACGGTGCCCACTCTAAGTCTGTCTATGGGGGTGGACGACTTAAGGCAATAATAATCTATCCCAGAATGCAATGAGGCAGCGGCAGGTCTGTCAAGAGTTTTTCAGAGACAGCGGCACGGTGAATGGCAGCAATGCACAAACATGCCTCTTCCAGAGCTGCTTTGAAGCTTGATGCGCTAGGAGACCGATGCTGACAAAGGAGTGAGAGGGACAAGGATGTAGCAGAATTTTACATCCGAAAAGACACAAAGGGCTAACTTTGACTTTGTTCCTGTGTTCAGTTGCTTGCCTCTGCCACTCTTGCGGCAGCTATGGTTGTTTACACATACACCTTATTTTAAGTTAAGACAGTTTACCTCCAGCTGCTTCCTGCTCTTTTACATCAGATCATATTTGCAAACTTTTCCCACTTTTGCGGAAACAGTCACGGTCTCTCGGTTGGACCAGGGGTATCCCCCAGGTGTGTGTCAGCAGGCGGCTGTCACAGGTTTTTTTTTTCCACGGCAAGCCCAAGTAAAATGTCATGTCCTGTCAGGAAAATTGTGAAGCCATCTCAGAGCTGAGCAGAGTGCGGAGTGTGACGTTTGGAGTAGCAGGCTCCTGGTGCTTGCCTCGGGCACTGGGCTCTAACTGGGACCTCGCTTTCCCAAGCCTGGTGAGCTGCAGAGGCTCTTTTATATTTCTCTCACTCGCTGTCTCCGACTCTCTTTTGTGTTTTCCTCTCCTATCTCTCTGACTCCACATCCCTTTGTACTCTTTGCATCTATTAAGACGCAGTAAGATGTATAGGATGAAAACATACACAGATTAACTTGACACACAAATGCACACAGAATAAATAACAATTAGAATAGAAGTAGATCACATATAGGTGGTCTGTTTTATCAGATCTCAGGTGGCCATGAATGTCACAAAATCAATGGATTTTAATGTTTTTTTCCAAATTAGTCATCTATAACTGTGAGTCATTTACAATGAGGGTAAAATCAACATAACAAGAACAGCTATTAATAGCCAGCGTAAATCATCATCATTATCCAGATTACGTATCCGGATGCATGTTAATACAACGTATCATCTTTTGCACTGCATTCTCTGTCTCGCCTGTTCTCGCCTTCTGCTGCTGTTATTCTCCGTCTCCGGGCTTCCTCCAAATGTCTATCCACATTTTCTACTTCTGTTTTCTACTTTCTACTTCTAGTGTATGCTTCCTTCTTCACTGAAGACAAACTGAACAAATAATTAGAACAGAATCAATTAATGAAGTCATGTTTTTTATATTCTTCATTTAAAACCTAGATTACACACCACCGCTGATACAGACAAGGACAGCTGGAGACCCAACTGCTGACTACTTTCTTTGAAGTCCGCCACCTGGGGCACATGTGTAGTTGTTGTACTATAATGTAAATTCTCTACGGAGTAGTCTGTGCAGTCACAAAAAGCAGGCAGGCACACCGACGGTCACATGGACCCTCGTGCTCGCTGTCTGATGACGAAATTTACGTCAATGGGACCCAAGCGGACCCTAACAGGCTTACTGAACATGTAATCGAAAAAGTTCATGCTGGTTTTTATAGAAAGGTGTCAGAATACAAAGTGCAATGCAGTTTGTTGTGTGCAATGCAGCATCTTGGTGCTACATACAACAACACACCTTCAGGGGTCTAGTGAAGTCCATACGTCAATGGGTCAGGGCTGTTTTGGCAGCAAAAGGTGGACCAATACAATATTAGGCAGGTGGTCATAATGGCATGCCTGATCGGTGTACTAATGTACACCGATCAGGCATGAACTTACTGACGACCTTGCTGTGTCCCTGCACTACTTTCAAGAATGCATGCGGGAGGTCAAAGAATGGTTCCTGAGTAATTCTCTTGTTTTGAATGATAAGAAGACTGAGATTGTGGTGTTCAACAGTAAAATCCCTC